AGACGTAAAAAAGTTTCGCTCGTTCGCTCGCTCGCTTACTCGCGGAGGGGAGAACAACTCGCGAGAGGCGCTTCACTTTGTGTGCGCGCACAACTTTCAACCGTCCCGTCTATTTTGTGCCCCTTGCGCGTCGTTTAATTCGTCGGGATTACGAACAACCGCAGCGTGACCGTTAATTATGAGAGGCGGCGCATAGAAATAATACCCCAAGCCTTTCTTCTCTCCCCAGAAGCGCGTAAACTTTTCGCGTGAGCCCCAAAATCCCGTCCGAAAAATATGGAGGGTAAGAGGTGAGCACCACCCATCTCCAAGTCTGTTCATGATGTGACCCTATACGATAAACGTTCGTATCGTAGTGCGTTGATAATCCTAGACTACACGAAAAGTATATAATTTTACTAAATATAGTATAGATCTAAAATAATTTTGTTGGATCACCCAAACGATTACAATTAACATTTAGAAAGAAGAGCATTAGGAGTCAATGCGATAAACAATGGGTAAATTATTAGGAGTATAAATAAGTTTCCAATACTTAAAAGACTGAAATCAGAGGAAATTCAAATATTAACAGATTATATTTTTGACTGTAAATTAGATATATAACTGTACATTTGATAAGCAATATTTTCTGTTATAATAGCATTTAAATTAGTAAGTAAGTTAGTATGTAAGCAAATACTGTACTGTTTTGTTATACTCTCTCTCATATCTTCAAATCTTTAAGTCTTATACAACTTTATTTAGTTATAATTCTCCTTAAGTACAAAAGTGTTTGACCTTTGTTTAAGTTAGTTCCATTCTGCGCGGTTTATTTTATCCTATGTATTCTCATTCAAGCGCCATCTACCGTTTTTCTTTTTTCGCACTACTATGTAAAATGGCTGTACACTGCAAGGTTGGCCAATAAACTATATTATCTATCTCTATAAAATTGTCTGCTGTAAAACGTCATATCGTAAGGTTGGACATCTGGTAACAACATAAAGACCATCACACGTACAAAGATTTTAGTAGTAATCGTAAGGTCTTAAGCAAATCGGCCAATCACAGTTTAGCGTATAAAATGTGAGATCGTAATCTTGATTGTGACTGGTCGATTTGCTTAAAACCTTACGATTACTACTAAAATTTTCGTACGTGTGATGGCCTTAACCTTGAAATATTAGCGATTTTGTATTAGCATCATATATCTTTTTTCGCGTGGAAATGTCGAGTTTTGAGCCGAATAAGCGTCATTTGCTTTTGATTTATTTCTTTAATTTGAAGAAAGCTGAGGCGCATCGATTGCTTATAGAAGCATATGGTGGCTGCCTTAAGTGAGAGAAGTTACCGTGAGTGGTTTCAAAAGTTTAAGAACGGTGAATTTGACGTCGAAGACAAAGAACGTAGTTTCGACGTTTTTTTGTTTTTTTTACGTGGAATCCATCAATTACCAGAAAGATGGGAAAAAGTAGTGGCTAGCGATGGAAAATACTTCGAATAAAAACATTAGGTACCGTTCTTTCACAATAAATGCCCAATTTTTGATGAACAAGCTTGGTCAATAAGAAGTCTGTAGCCAAAAGTTGATAAGAATATATATTGTAGTTGCAAAGATGTTCGGTAACAACCGATTCGCTTCGGTGAAACGCATACTCCCTCCTTTTTGTGCCAACCTTCGGTTGGCAGCAGTCGGTCGTAAGAAACGGCGGAAACTTATTTATACACCTAATATTATATAATAAAAGCTCTTTAACGACACATTTCAGTCGCAAATCTCCACTAACCGTATAACATTTTGGCTCCAATAAAATAATTACAGTGCAGCTCTAACAATATTGCAGCAACGTATGCAACAATCGTTTATTGATCAGACCCAGGAAATTCGAAAGCGCGGAGGGTTGCGGATAAAAGGGAAATGCTGGAGGCAAAAATTTCACCGGGGTTTAACCCTCTCGTGAGCGAACGGCTGGGTGATCGGAAACAGACGCGGGGGTGAGAGAGAAATCAATTCGTTATTCCGGTGTAACGATCTCGCTGAGAGGACTGTCTGTTATTTTTGAATATTCCATACCTGAATTACAATTAAATTTCACTTTGCTGTTCGAATTTCAAACCAACAGCTCTGTTAGCAGATACGTGGTTCAGTTCCATTACACAGAAGCTATATGGTTTTACTGAATTAACTAAATATTTAGCTATTAGATACAGATCTGGGAATAGTTTCGTTAGAACATCAAAATAACTGTGTAGGAAGTTACTGATAACAATGTTGGAGAATGTTTTGACATTCTAGCCATCAGATTGTGAGTGCCCTGCATAATTAGTATGATTGTTTAACAAAAATATTCTCAGAGTTGTCATATCATCTTTAAATATTTCAGCAAAGCCGTTTCCTTTCACATACCATACAACACACAATTCGCAGCGATGCATTGCTGCGGGGATTTCCATGATCTGCAGTTGTGGATTTTCATGTAGATATTGCAATTACGAGAAAAATGTATATTGTGTCTCAGCGCAAAACGAAAGACGATGATTAAAGAAAGTAATTGTTTCTCGTCACCGCGTGAGAGATTTGTAGCTCGGGAGGAGAAAACGTTTACGTATCTTATATGTGCGATGCGTCGTCTGTTGGCGGTGTATTACGGAAGGAGGTGAGTCTCTCCCTTATCTTTCTAAGCCGTTCTACTATATTTCTTTCGAGCATTTCTTTTCCACCGTGAGAACACTCCATATGCCGATGGCCAGGGTAACGCGGACGGGCGCGCGACTTCCAGCGTCGAGGTCGCGTGCGAGTAATTGTTCCGATTACCTTTGCTTATTGTTGCATTATGATGTAGGAAAAGTGCTCTTAATTAAGCGGTGCGTCCTAATTGATCTCTCCCGCGTGCACGTAGCGTCCAGCCGCGATAACGTGGTCGCGGCTACTAACACAGGGATATTTGTTGCGATATCAATCGCAAAACGCAACATGTATTCGACCACGGACATCTGCGGCGTGGACGTTGAAATTTAATAGACTTGGACAACTGTTCGAGCTAACTGCGCCAAGAGCCTCGCTTGAAAAAAATCTGTTTCTTAAACTGCTTATAATAATTATAAAGAGCTTTGTGTACGGCTGTCAGCCGTCTCACGACGACAATAATGGCTAGGAAATTTCCATAGGGTCGACAATGAAGTGTACGCAGTTGCCGCGAGGAAAATTATTCCTCGAGAAATTTTAACTCTCCTGAATAATTAGAATCTGAAAAAACGCTACATTGAAAAAAATTAAATTTTAATTAAAAAAATATTTGATATGAAGACAATTAATATTTGATTTTAATATTATTTTGTTTTATTGAATAAACACTATACTCTTATAAGTTTATGTTTATTTAGTGCTGCTTGAAGAAATATGTATTAAAATTTAGTAAATTATTTTTTAGTATATATTTATTTTGAAAACTCTATCTGTGTTTTTTTATCTTATACATGCATACATCGAAGAGAGTGTATTTCGTTACTAAAAATATGAATTAATTGTGTGAATTGTGACGTTCGTACAATAACAAACTTCGTTATCGGTGATGTATTGACGTACATCATCGCGTCGTCAACAAAAATACATCAATCTCTGAATTGCGCAGCTGAATAAATTACGTTGGCGTTAAACCACCGTCACGAATTTTGCATTCCGTTATAATTACTAATCCATGTCTCGTAATCACGCTCACGTGGACATCGTGACGCTCGTACTGAATGATTTATTCGACGATATTATTTCTGTAGCAACACGTGCGTGTCTATTATGCGCAGAGAGATCGATCGAGACGCGACGGTGAAACGTCGCATTTTGCATCTTCCAGAATTATTTTGTCGCTTCCAGCAGGAAAAGTACTACGCCCGCGTTATCCTCGTAAATATCGGGCCTCGCAAAAGTATGCGCATAATTCCGCACATTCGTGATTTCGTAACTGATTTCGTAAAGAAGCAGTGTACCGAACACGTGCGCGTCCGAGGAAAAAAACACGTCGGCAATCCGAAACTTATTCGTTATTTGCGATAAAACTAGTCAAGTTGTTTATGAACAATATATAAATAGTAGTTTGAATGATTAAACATTCAATTGTTTATATTCGTTTTACGTACGTTAAATGTAAGCTTCTGCACCTTTCTTATGTTAAAAAAAAACTAAATTTTAATAAATATTTGTTTGAATATAGTCCTAAATAAATATTTACTAAATGTAAATATGATTGATATAAAAGTCATTATTTTGTATTAACTATTATATTATTTTTTTATCGAATAAATATTTATTTACTGTAAATGAATGTTTACTATTCGAATATGTATTAAGATTTATATTTTTTTCAGTATGTGTTAATTTCATGTTTCCATTGATCATTCTATACTTTAACAATATAATTAATTGATCTTTTATATTTTAATAATAATTATATTCCGTTATGAAAATTACGTAAATACAAGGTGGGAGGAAAAAACTAGTATAATTGGAGAAATGATTTTTTTATACAAAATAAGTTGCAAGTGCGGAACAAACTTTTTTCGCCTGAAGCTTTATTGTAAACAATTTCTCGTTTAATAAAATAAAATGCACTGAATATTTAAACACTAAGATCCGCTTTGACCGAAGATAGGATTTTTTTTCACTAAAAAAACTAAGTATCTATATTACATGTTTTTTAATTCTGTCACTCGTAAAGTCGCGTGGACATTATGTAAACATGATAACGTTTACAGTATTTTTCCATAAACCATATCTTAATTGAAATGTATGTACGTGTATTTCGCGATTTTTCAAACTTTGTGTTCTTGAAAACAATTTCTGACTTAATCTTGTACAAGAAATCACTCCCTTCTTCTGTCCGATTGTACTACGGATTTGTCCCTATATCTCGAATAATATTTTTTTTTGCAACACACATAGTCTAAAATAACGATATCTTCATATACCAATATTCGCATTGTCAACGGAAGTAATAAAATGCAATCCTATTTTTTATTTGCAGTCAAAAGAGGCAGCAGCTGCAGCAACAACAGCAACAGCAATCACTACATTCACAGTTGCTGCAGCAACCACTGCATTCACAGTTGCTGCAGCAACAGCAGCAGCAGCAACAGCAGCAACAGCAACAGCAGCAGCAACATGCCTCCTGGCATAGGACTACTCTCGCCTCCTGACCACCGACCTTGACCTTGACTGCGAGTCCAGCGATTCTGAGAGATTGAAGGAGAAAAGAAAAGAGCCGCGAGATGTACGAGGAACGCCGCGACGCCACTTCTTACGCGGTTTCGGCCACTCGTCGAAGGCTGCTCACGCAGTGAGGCAGAGAAACGCGGATGAAGAAACGTCGGCCGACGAGGGCTTTCGCGGAATAACCGCTGCTCGACACCCGCAGAAGCGTGTGCTCTTCCCCTTTGCGGTGGTGTAGTCCCGAAGCGGTCGAATCGATTCCGTTCGTATATTTTATTTTAACCCGCCGTTAGTCGCCCGTTATTATACTTGTATTTTAAATGATCGCGTGCGTATAAAAAAAAAATTCCTCTTTTGAAAAATAATAATGATAATATATGTATTTCTTATTGAAGTTGAATAATATTTTATTTACATATTTACATATTTAAAGCTACGACACTATTATATATTTTTTTTTACGCATGATAATGAAGAACGAGATAAAAATATGAACGCGAGTGAGACTGACGGCGTTGTTAAAAGATTAATTACGATACGTAATCTTAGTAAACTCGGTGAACATTCGTAAATTATATAAAGACGTAAATCATGTGATAAAGTCATACGCGAATGTAGGCGATAACTGATTAATAGAGTAGATTAGAGGTAATGTGTATTTTGACTGAGGAACTCGGCAAACTCTTCTTAGCGCGGGTTCGAGTCGAAAATATATTTTTCTGTTGGACTTTTTGTACTGACAAAAAGACGTATTCTCATATCTGTGCAGAACTAATGCCAAGCTGTGTATGCACTATATGGACCAGTCACCAGTATCAAAAAATGTACACATCAAACGAGCAATTATAAAGACTTATGCTGCAAGCATATTAATTACAATAAAGTTACAGGCCAGAACGCCAATTAATTTGTCATGATGTGCAATTATAGATGAGGAAACACGGAAAAGACGTGTCTCTTTGATGTGGACTTATTGATGTGATGTTTTATAAGACTACACCACTTGCTTCTACGATAATATAAACTCCGCGGTTTTCTCTCTCATCGTCATAATCCCGTAGAGACCCTTGACACAAGTGCAATGACATGCGAACGCCGTGATGAGGCTCCTCTGTTTCGTATATAATATACTATCTGTTTCAATAAGTAAAGCTAAAGTTTATCTGTTACTAATTATTTAGATATGAGTTAAAAAAAATTGTGTGAGAGGTAGTAATCAAGTAATCAGCTTATTTTTCAGGAAGAGATAGAGATTGTACACAAGAACCTTAGCGAATCTCTCTAAGATTAATGATAATCAAATTATAGATACAGTTTTATATTTCATTGTACACAGTTTTTATATTTAAAGTTGTATACGATATCGTTTTGTATTACTTACTAGTGCAATGTCTTTTACTTGCTGATTGTTATCGTTCTGATTGTTATTTTGTACAGTCTGTTACCAACTTACTGTTAATATGCTACATATATTCATGTAATATTTTTATTTTTGCTCGTCACGGCGATCGTAACTAGTCTCCCAACCTGGCGTAGTAGAAATTAGTGCGCGTCACGATTAAATATTTATATCCATGACTTACGAGCCGAGTTTACACAAGCAGCGATATTTTCCATCCGCGCAATTAACGACGATGCATTTTTAACTCTTCGTTAATTTGATTTGCTCCGATAGTTTGATTCCCCGTATTTAATTTTCGTCGTAAAATCGCGTTGCTCTCTGTTACGTTAAATTTTATAAAACGCCGAATATTACGGCAAATAAGCTATCCTAGAAATCTATCTATGCAACTTTCCATTTCATGGAAAATTAAATTGATATTTATTCTGATCGGCGTTTTTGTTCCTATTTGCTAATTTAATTCGCAAACACTATCTTCTCGTATTGTCTTACGATAAAGCACCCATCAAAGAAAAAAAATTCTTAATCGCTTACGGACAATATTTACTTAGATGTATAAAACAAATATTATGCACACTTTTGTGTAACACTTCACGCGATAGCGTGACGAAATTTACGATTTTAGAAGCAATTACATAAATGTGCACGTCGACCGAATTTATATCGAAGAACTTCAGATAAATTTAAGAACTTTACACGATTCTCTTTATACTTTACCTTATTTTTGTTTCTTTTGTTATATTACTTCTTTACGTATGACGCGCGCGATAAGTGGAAAACAATTATTTTTAATGCTGTTTGTTTAATTTGTTCCGGTTAAAAATATCGCAACATTTAAAAAAAGATCAAACTAGTTACGACTATTCGACTCACTTATCACTTGTATAAGTACATGTATGGTATATGCACACCTTATTTCTATTCGAAGCATCGGAAAACCTCAAAGACAATAATATATCAGAGACATCATTTCGAAAATAGTTATGCTTTAGTATCCTGGCAGAGTCGGTCATTTATTACGTAAACGTACAGTCCTTATTTATTACCGTTGCTCGCATTGTGAAATGAAATTCAATGTAGAAGACGGAAGACTTGCTCGCGGAAAGAACAATTTTATTAAAATATCTAAATATTTAGCCAGATATCACTATTAGAAATATTACAGATCTAAAAATAATTTTGTTGGACCATCAATATAATTATGTAGGAAACTCAAGCATGATGAGGAATAAAAATGCTGCAAAAAATTTTTAACAATCAGTTTGAGCATAATTATTTTGATAGTTCAACAAATAATTTCCATATCTATATCCAGTTAAATTTTTAGATGCTTCAGCAAAACCGATTTTTTCGTGCTGGTGTAAACTCGACTATCATATCGACAGACTGAGCGCATTGATCCTTTGCAATCCGACAGATATACTGTACAACGATTCGTCTTTCACAAAAAAAAATCAATAATTTTTGACAGACCGTATTTAATTTTTATATATTACGAATGTATGTAATGTGCATCTTACAATGTGTGTATGTATTTCCCATGTTATATAATTCCCACAAAAATATCTGAGAAGGCAAGGATTGAAGCGCACGGATCAAAAGAAAAAAAAGTAAAAAAAAAAACACAAAAAAGAAGAAAAACAAAATGCGTAGCGTGAAATACGTGACGAGAATAGGTGCTATTTGGTAGTTAAAAAGCGAACGGGGGAAGATATGGCGAAAAGGGCCCACGACGAAAGCGTGTAGGTAGTTCATTTATAGGTAGAGAAAAGGTATTTTATACGCGATGTATTGTACACGCGTGTCCGCTCGAAACAATGTGCCCATGCGCACGTTGATATGTATTATAAAAACACGTAACACCATTGCGCGCGATACCGATTACCGTTTTGTCGGAGTTGAAACCCGATTATACCCAACATCGTGAGAAGAATTCCTCGCAGCGACTCGTCACAGCATTTGACGCAGTTCTCATGCTGGATTTATGCGTCTCCGACGTAGATTAGTGTTTGTCAACAAAATTCCGTGATTCCTTTCGTGAAGTGTGTATCCCACGAGACACTCTGTAAATACTTAAAATTTCAGATTAATTTAAATCACGCCATATCGAATAATTGAGCCTGGCAGAAACTTATCAAACACGTAAATTGCAAAAATGAACCATTAAGACATCTTTTGCAATACCTTTTTTGTTTTTCAAAATTATATCGTTTCAAATATTTAATACAATTAATGTTCGTGTTATGAAAATATGACTATACATTCGACGTAATGATAAAAAAAATGGCTTTAGAAACTCGAATCTCAGTTCTGAAATGAAACGCATCATCCGGTCTATCTAACATTTAGTACAGCGTGGGATACATGACTCACGATCGTGGAGAAAATTCTCTTTCTCCGACTATATATATCTACTAGAACTACGATCCAGAGAGAGTAGAGAATTGTCAACCATTTAATTATGCGAGTCAATAACTATAAGCATCGGTATGATTGAATTAATTACACAGGCGCACATTCACACACACACACACACACACACACACACACACACACACACACACACACACACACACACACACACACATTTTTTTTTAGAGAGAGAGAGAGAGAGAGAGAGAGAGAGAGAGAGAGAGAGAGAAACCTTCCTTTGTACATTTATAAAGCTGACAACTGCAGCTGCGATATAGAGAAAGAGACGTATATAATATTAGCCATCATGGTTTAATCGGAGCTGAAGTATTGGTAACAGCAACCGTTTGTACGATTTAGAGAAACGATGCAATTTTGTATCCAATTTGCGTCTACGGTCGCAGATAATGTAGAGGCGATCATCCAGCGGTGGCATCGGTCGTTCTAATTCCGACGGAAATGCACGTGGTTATTAGCGTGTCCGCCGCGTGACCCCGTTAAGAAGCCGCAATTTTAACACACCTACAACCGGCCGACGACAACAGACTGCGTGGTATATTACACCGCGGTTAAAAGCGAAGACAACGACTGTTCTGTCCCCGTTTCGCCATCAGTAAGGCGATACCGTGCTGCCATGCAGAGGACTATCAGCGAGAACAGGACTTGGTATAGCAGTAAAAAAAATTGCTTCGAACGCGACGCAGTCGGTTGCAGTATACTCCCTTACCTCTCAATTAGAATGGCAGTTTTAATTGCCTGGGGGCAAGGTTGACTTAATATAAAATCCGATTATATTAACTCATCACCGACTACATACGGCAGCGCGAAACATTTTTATGCATTTGATACAAAAACAATGTTTCTTCTTCACCTTCGTCGAGCGTTCTCAACGGTTTTAGCAAAAATGATATCCTTCAAACCTGAGACACGATTGAAAAGCAATAGAAACAGGGAACTGCAGTCCGTCAAAACAATCGAGAATATACACTATTCTTCGCTGTTGCTATACTGCTTTAACTTAATTGTGTCTCGGGCTCAGCGCTTGAAAATTTATGATGAGGATTTAAGGATTACGCGAATGTTAGCTGTGAGAGAAAATTCTAGCTCTTTAGACATTCTAATCAATTTACGCTTCATTAGTTTTTCCATATCTAAATTCAGGTGCTAATGATATTATAATCTGCGACCATAATTCTTGATTTATAGAGCATGTGTGAAAGGATTATGAGATCATCTCGTTAACTGCGACTGTGGCGATATGATATTAATCATTATTACCCTCACCAGCGCGGTAAAATACGCGCAGAATGTATAAATTTTGTATTTGTTTGTTTATTTATTGTTAGGTAGAGAGCGGATGTGATGGAAGTTCCGCGACTAGGCAGACGTCACTAACTTTAGATGATCGAAACTCTGTGACTGTTTAGTCTTTAGATTTTATTAGTGACGTAAAAATGACTAAAATATTATTTTGTTGATATATACATATTATATATATATATATAGA